TTAAACGTACCTCAAGATGTACGAACATTGATGCAGACTTCTAAAAGTCATGAAATCAGTTCCATGGGTTCTGAAGGTACTTATATTCATTTCGGGTTTGAAAAAATGATACTTCCAGTTTTAAATAAATTTGTTAATGCTATTGATTTTACAATTACCTTAAAACTGGGTATTAATATAGATGGCCTACCTCTTGCTAAAAGTTCTAAGAGTCAGGTATGGCCAATTCTTGTTTCGATGATTAATTGTAAAATATTGAGTAATCTGGTGTTTCCCATTGGAATTTATCATTAAACGAAAAAAAATCCATGCATTCAACAATATTTGCATGAATTTATTATAGACCTAAAATCATTATTAGATAATGGTTTTGAAATAAACGGTAATATACTCAGATTTGAAATATTGCATATGACCAATGATGCGCCCGCTAAATCGTTTATTCTAAATGTAAAAAGCCATAACGCATATTTTGGTTGCACTACTTGTGCACAGGAAGGCTCCTATATAGAAAGGCGTGTAGTGTTTTTTAAAATTAACTCCTCTGTCAGAACTAATGAGTCATTTAGGAATAAAGTAAATGAAGAGTACCATAAAGGAGATAGTCCATTAGAGTTATTACCTATAAATATAATAGATGTGGTATGCTTAGATTATATGCACAATGTATGTATTGGTGTTACTAAAAGGTTAGTTGAATTTTGGGTTAAAGGAAAAAAAATGTACGACTAAATGAGACTTTTAGAGAACAAATTTCAACTGATTTAATAAATCTTAGAGTTTATGTACCAAATGAGTTTAGCTGTTTACCAAGAAAAATAGAAGATATTGATTATTGGAAAGTTATCGAATTAAGATCTTTCCTGCTCTACTTTGGCCCTATTGTTTTGAAAGGTAAGCTAAACAAACAATTTTATTCGCATTTTATGTTGCTATCTTGTGCAATCAAAATTTTAGTGTGCCCTATTCTTTGTGAAACCCAAATTAACTTAGCTGAAAAACTATTAAAACGATTTGTTATTACATACAGTTCTTTATATGGAGAACATTTTGTATCTTATAACGTACATAGCTTGGTACTCTTACCTCTGTATGACTGTATGTAAGAATTCATAGTGCTTTAAACAATTTTGGATGTTTTAAATATGAAATTTTTTTACAGGAGATAAAATATTCAATAAAAGGGGGAAGATATCCTCTTCAGGAGTTATCCAACAGAATATTAGAAAAACAAAAAGTATTTTTGTCTACACCTATTTTGCCATTTCAACATTTAACACTTATGATGTTAAACGTTCCAATAAAACATTGATACAACAATTCATTTCACAGTGGGCAGGTAATCAAACAAAAAACATCGTATATCACAAAGCACTACAATGAAAATAAAACTGATTTTTGTTAATAATTATGATTGACATGATTAACAACAAAGCCTTTACTTACTTTTAAATACTTATGTTTTATTTAATTATTTTTTATTCGCACCACCCTATCAATAGGGTGACGGTTCTGTTCAGGAGAATTTTTTGCCCCGACAGGACGAGTACGGTGATGGGAAGGTGATACACAAATATGTTTCACACTGGCGAAGCCGGGTAATTCAGCTAATATAGTATAGGTATACGAATCAGAATTTTTACTCTGGACAACGGAGAAAAATAGATAAGTTCTGAATACCATACACCGAATATTAAATAACAAATTGAACAAAGTTTGAGGTCATATAGAGTTGGTACATTTAAAGGGAAACGAAGTGCACGGGATCAGCTAGTAATATATATGTTACGGTCAAAGTGTATAAATCGGGCATTGTAATACATTGCCCGGGCATGTGTACCTGTGGGCAATGTAAGTTTATTGCGATTCCGCGTCTGTATAAGCTATATTATCAAATATGTTCCCTCTACGATGGTATCTAACTGATGACTGTAGGTATTTTAACCGGCAACAGCCGATACTGTACCCATATGTGGTTTCGATATCTGTAATAATATAGTAAGGATAATAATTAATAGCTTATTGCTGCATGATAATTTTATCAGAGGTTATACCAACGACAATCTATACCGGAGATATAATATAGAATTTCCGATCAGTTGTAATAACATCATTTAACGGATCGGTTGTGTTTAAACACATATTATTATTATTTTGATTTTTCTTAGTATTTAAAATGGTTGATTTAAAATTTAATGAAAAATTTAATACTCTTCTGAGTGAAAAAAATTCGAATAATATATTTTTAAGCAAAGTAAAATATAACCAAGTATTAAAAAGTGGAGCAAAATTAAAACCAAATGATTATAAATTATTGAAGCGCTATGATATAATGAATGTAAGTAATATTGATAAATTAATTGTTCCGGGGCTGCAGGTAAACTATGTACTTCTAAATGTCACGATAGCTTAAGTTGCCATAATAAATAAAAAAAATTTGTTAATATTCATAAAATAAATTATTAAGATAATAAAAATTGTTTTATACATTTTCTAATTAATTATTTAATTGTAATTTCCAACTGTGCTTTGGTCATTCTGTACAATGCCCGGACAAAGTGTATAATTTTCCACATTGTCCATTGAAATTGGGCATTGTACACATTGTCCGGGCACTGTATTATAATGCCCGTTTATACACTTTGACCGTAACATATATAAATATCAGCCTATAGGCAATCTATAGGAATACAGGATAATATAGTAAATATTTCTTTGGGTTAGGTTAAGCTATTTTATTTCATAGTAAGAATTTGTAAAATACTATGTAATATTTCATATTTGTAGTATTGGAAATATTATGATTTGATGAAATAAATATTTTTAATTTTTAATTTAATTTTTATTAGGATACAAAGTTGACACTGGCTACTGTTAGGCCCGTTTCACACGAACCACTTTAGTGTCGCCACAGAAAAGTCTCAGTGGTGCCACATGAACTATATAGTTTTCACTCGATAACCACACGATAGCTACAAATTAATTTATGTGTGGCGCCAATAGTTTCCTACAAGCAGTGTCATATTGAGGCCGGGCCTAAACCCTAGCCCCGGGCCCCTAATGTAAGTTCCAGTCTGGGGGCGCGATACCATTTAACTTGACATTTAAAAAAAACACTTGGAATATATTTATTTTAATTAAACAAAAACTTTTAAAGTGGATTTTTAAATATACAATAATACTGTATTGTTTTAAAAAAATTATAAGGTATAGATCAAACCCCTTCTAGCATCACTATTTAATAATTTAATTTCTAAAAAAGGCCTCTACTCCCCCCCCACCAAGATAGTTTAAAGCCACTAAGTTTCATGCCACGCAACTGTGTAGTGCATATTATTACCTATTGTTTCTTTTTGAAAAAAATGTATGTTTTCACAAATTTATAATTAGGCAGTATAGTAATAACTAGAGAGCCTAGATAATTATATATGAAGGCTCTCTACAGTCTATTCCACTAGAGAATAATCAGTCCGCCGACCGATTCTTTTCAGTGCCACGCATACCCCACCAACTACCCGGTGTTAACGTGATCACGTGGTTCTCGACGCACTAATCGAATCATTCGTGACGCGCAAATAGTGTATGCCTATACAGGATATATAGTCCAAAGAAAGTTCGAGAAATAAAATATTCACGTTTTTTTCTAGAATTCTGTAGTGTATAAATAGGGTGCAAGATAAACATGCAATGGTGATTATATTTTCACCTTTGAACGTATAGTTTCTTTCGTGTTAAATGTACTCAGTTTGTGTGAAACTATTTAAGTAATTGTTTAATTTGTAATTTTGTATACGATTATTTTTTTCGAAATGTCCGAGTGTCTTAGACATAGATAAATTTATTGACGATATTCATCTACGTCCAGCTATATGGGACTCCATGTCAAATGAAAGTTCTAATAAACAACTTCGCAAATATCAATCCAGTATTCATCGTATGCCACAAGATCCTAAAACCTCACATCCATCCAATTCAAATTCAAACCCTGGTCTTAATTCTATGCCCAAATCTTACGCTAATGCCTTATCTGGTTCCGAAAACAACTATAACAATGTTTCCGTTATCGAAACGTTGTTATCAAAATTCTTTCTAAATTTCACTGCAATCATTAATCCACTTATGTCCCTTCTTTCCACTGTCCTAAACAAAATTAATTTACCTTAGTCATACCAGCGTCATGTCATACTCTTACATCATTTCATTTTTTTTGGGTTAATACGTTAATTAATCATTATTATCTATTTTATTACTTATATTCTTATTTATAATTATCTTATCCACATAATTATATATTATATAATTCTATATACATTCTAATGCATGCTACAAACTTAGCACTTATATACATATCAATTATCTGTATCGTCTTATCTTGTATATGTACATTAATTGTCGATCCGTAATAATTTTGTGCTAATGGCTAATGGCTAATACAAATAAAAAATAAATAAATAACTTAAAAATAAAGCATGGGAGAATTGTGTTACATATTTTTTGAAAACTTCGACCAAAAAGAGACACCCGAAAAAAATGAATGTAGTAAGTATACATTGTTTTATTAATATTGTGTTATTTAAATACATTTTAGTGTAAATTATGATTTTCTTATTTGTTTAAACATAAACAAGAACATTTTAATTTTTTAATTTTTTAAATATTATTAAGTATACATTATTAAGTTTAATTATTTATAGTTTAAAGTTTAAACTTAAAATATGGTAAAAAAATAAGAATAACAAAATATAATTTAATATTAAATATTTGTGTATTGCCATGGCAATTCTCCTTCTGGAGAAATAAAATAATCTGCAAATTGATCTCTAATGTAATTTGCTTTTCTGCCTCCTAGAATAGTGGAAGATGGACTATGCATTTCATCAAACCCATTAACTTTCAGTATATCATCAAATTGCACTCCATCGCTTGCTCTTACGAAGTTATGTAATACACAGCATGCTTTGACAATTTCTTCTGTAATTTCCATCGAAACGTTTAAAGGTCGATGAAATATCCGCCATTTATTAGTTAGTATTCCAAATGTATATTCGATGTACCGCATTGCTCTGCTTAGCCGATAATTAAATATTTTTTTTTTTTTACTGACAAATTTTTACCACCAAAAGGACGTAGAAGTTTTGTAGAGACACCAAAACCTTCATAACCAATTAAAACATTTGGCAAAATTGGAGTTTCTGTAAATGTTAATGGTTGGTCTTCTGGTATATTTAATTCATTATTCATAAATTTTTATAAAAAACAGTCTCTAAATACTGTCGAGTCAGCACATTTTCCAAACGAACCAATATCAACAAATGTGAAATTCTAATAGCTGTCACAAACTGCCATTAAAAGTATCGAAAAATAATTCTTATAATTATAAAACAACAATCCACTGTCAATTGGCTTTACAACCCAGATGTGTTTGCCATCAACTGCACCGATACAGTTGGGAAAGTTGAAGTACCTTTCAAATCCTTGTATAATTTCAACCCACTTTTCTTTTGTTGGTAGAGACATACATAAAAGTTTTAAATATTCCCAGATTGCAACGCATACTTCATTTACGGTTTTTGAAACTGTTGATACTCCTAATTTATAACTAAAATGCAAGTCGGTAAATGTACATCCATTTTCAAGATACCTATAGACATATTTAATCCATATGATACAGACATGAAATCATATTACCTATATTATGTTATAAAAATTAATACATCATATACCTAATAATTATTTTTTTTTTCGTTTTAAAATTTTAATTATCATTAATCAAAATTATTTATACTCACAGAATGATATTAAACTAGTATTGCTGACTGTTATATGCTTATTTTTGAAATTAATATACTAGTTAAACGCATGAAAATTATATGAATAATAAATAACTTAAGATTTACTTATGTCAAAAAGAATATTTAAAAAATATATATATTAATTGTTACATTGTTAGGTATATACGTATACATTTACTCCAAAACAATATTAATATATTAAAAATTACAAACAATTTGCCACTTGACTTAAATTATACTGATGGTAGTCTATTTGACGATTCTCAAAAACCTACAGAAAATAACGGACATTTCAGGGAATTATTAAATTTCAAAATTTCATCTGGTGATGAGATTTAAAAAAAACATCTTTTAACTTCTGAGCCTAGAGCCACTTCCATTAGTAAAACGACACAGAATGAACTTATTTCTACTATGGGAAATTTAATATTAAAAAATGTGTTGGAAAGAGTAAAACAACTAAAGTTTTACAGTGTTATCTTCGACGAAACTACCGATATATCAAAAATATCTCAGTTAGTCACTGTTATTCGATATGTATATAAAAATTAAGTATACAAAGATTTTTCGGGTTTTTAGACTGTCATCAAGAAAACTATAAAAATACTGGAGGCGAAGTAGAACCTAAAATGACTGGTGAAATTATAGGAAATTCAGTTTTAAGTATTTTAGATAAACTTGATTTACCATTTGAAAAGTGCGTTGGAATTACAACAGATGGATGCTCTGTTATGCTATCCGAAAAATGTGGAGCAGTTAAAACACTTAAAGCAAAAATAAATAATGCAATCAAATGCACTTGTTTTAGTCATGCCTTAAATTTGTCGATTATGAAAGGAAGCAAAATAAAATTCGTAAGAAATGCTTTCGGAATAATGACGGAAATTATAAATTTTTTTAACACATCAGCAAAAAAAAAATATATTTCAAAAAATACTTTAAAATCATCACTGCATTCATTATGTAAAACAAGATGGATGGAAAAACATGATGGTGTTTTACAATTTTTCACGTGGTTAAGACAAAATTCGTTAGACAAAATATCAGATTGGAATGATATAAATACTGCAACTAAAGCAACTTACTTATCTAAATCATCATCGTCTGGTGAATTTTTTTTGACATTAATAACTGTTTCAGAAATGTTTACTATAACATCTCCAATCAGTAAATTATTGCAGTCCAAAAGTCAAGATAAATTTTCCACTACAATAATAATTAAAAGTGTAATTTGTATTTTGAAAAATAAACGAGAAGAACTGTTTAAACAAAATATTTAAAACGGCAGAAAGTCAGGTAATTAACTTTTGAATTTCAGGAGGAAGCCAAGATAAACAAGCCAAGATTATCTAAACTAATGAAAAACAGGGAAAATCTTCAAACTGAATCTTCTAAAGAATATTTTAGAGTAACGTTCTTTATTAATTTCCTCGATAATTTACTAAATGATTTAGAATCTAGATTCGATGAAGATTTGATGTCAGTGTATGATCGGGACGTGGTGCTGCCCAACATAATTAAAATAAAATCTATTTTTGATGTCAAATGTAAATTAAAAAATAAAATAAAAAACGTAATTAATCAGTTCGGTGACTTAGTAGCTTGTGAAATTAATATACCTAGAGATATTTTAGAATCTACTTTAATGGGTTAATTTGAAGTTTGGCATAAAAATTGGTTACAAGACGAACAATTACCTTCATCGCCTTTAGAAGCTCTCAAACGGTGTGACCAGGACCGTTTTTTTGGAATTTATGTTTTGATAAGAATACTTACACGTCACCAGCTACAGGTGCAACAGCTGAACGGAATTTCTCATCATTACGGTGAATCAAAACATGTATGAGGTCGAGAATATCGGAGGAACGACTAAATGGACTGGTTTTATTACAAGCTCATCGAGATGTCGAGATAAACCATTATGATGTCATTGACATATTTGTGTAACGTGCCAACTACTTCAGTTGAATGATGGAAGTATTTTGAATAAAAACCACGAAGATTATTTGAATATTTGGTATTTTTTTTAACTTGGTAAAATAATGTCTAAGTTCAATAATATGTATTAATTTGATTTAAACTGTGGTAAGCGAGATGTGACTGTGTATATGAGCTTGGTGTCTGCTCGAGTTGAGGCTAGCTGCTCGTCTGATGGATGCTTCATGTCCATCAGCGTATTTCGTCGGGTAGTCCTATCAGACCCCTACTATGGTATTTTAGTATAAAAATGGTACACTCGCTGCATACGCTTGAGGTCATTTTGGACGTCATTCGTATAATTATGTTATTTACGGAATATAATATTTTGCACAAAGTCATGATTTTTCTATTGCTATATTATTAATTTTACCTAGAATACAGTTTATTAAAAATACATATACCTATCGAGTGCTCTATAACACGTCGTGCGGTACCATTTATATTATTACTATTACTTCTATTGATGCATGTCGCCCAGGGTTACGAGCTCACTGCAGCATTTAGATATATTATTTGGATATAATATTGTCACAAAGTCACAGCTCGCAACATTTGCTCAATCAAAAAACAGAAGATTGGACTTTGTTATATAATTTAGAACTACTACAATAATGTTTTGACATTTAAATTTGTATATAATATTTATATAATATTCTTGGTCACGAAAAATAAAGACCTACAGAAAACAACTTACGAAAACAAGTATATATCGTTCTAACTTCCTTAGTAAAACGTTTTCAGAGGTTTGTAAATTATTAAAGATAGAAAGGGTTAACACAAGCTCATTTAGACCGCAGGGTAACCCCGTAGAACGCGCTCATAGATCTCTAGCAGAGTATTTACGACATTATGTAGATAAGAATTTAAATAATTGGGATCATTTATTACCCTTTGCATTCTTCGTATATAATTCAACAGTACATTCATCTACTAATTTCCAACCATACGCATTAGCGTACATTGGAGGTAGGTACTGATTAAATTGAAAACCGAACCAGAACCACGATACAATTACGACGATTATTTATTTGATTTGAAAGAAAATATGTAGATATCACATAAAATAGCTAGGGAGTAATTAATTAAAAATTAAATTAAAATTAAGGAACGATATGATAAATACGAAAATCCTCAAAAAATACATGTTAAGGATTTAATACATTTAAAAGATAATAATCACAGAACAAAACTTGATCCAATCTGGCTAGGATCATTCAAGGTTATAGTAGCGCTCTTTAAGCTCTATTAGAGCCTTAGTTATAGCAGTAGCAGGGAATGAAAATGTGGTTATACAGCGAGGCCGTCGAGGTATCACTGTTCATAGAAATAAAGTAAAAAATATTACAGTGACGCGCAAGTCAATTACAAATGAATAAATAATAGGATGTATAAATTATATATAATTTGTGTATAATCAGGGCCGGCGTGAATGAATAATAAGTGGGGGGGGGGGGTGTTAGAGATGGGGGTCGTTCTCCGACAAACATAAATTTGATAACATAATGTAACCTCAAATATTGTCCAATACCAACATAATTTGAATTAAATTGATATTAGGGAAATGTTGTACCAAACATACTACCGTACTTGTCGAAGTATCGGACTATTATTGAACAAAATATATTACAACATGAACATACCAAATTATTATTAAGCTCTGGTATTTTTATAAAAATGGAAATTTAATCGTTATCAAATTACATTAAAAGTAAAGTAACTTGGCAATATAAAAATGTATAATGCATAATGAAAACGAAATACATTTTTATGACGATGACGACGAGATCCATGAATATTTAAATTAATTTAGTTTAGTCCATATACTGTATATACGAGTGTTGTCCAGTTAAAATACTTGGTAATACTTGGGACTTTAAAAGTATTAAGTAGTAGCTTAATGTTGCAGATTTTGGTCATGCTAACACTAAGCATATTGTCACACCGCTCATTAACATTCAAACAGGGCTAGAAAAACATATTAAAATATTTATCATGTTGCAATTAAAAAAAATGAATGCTTAGGAATTATGGCCCAAAGGTGGCCAAGTTAATGAAATACAAGATTGATAAATTAATATACAATGTATTATTTACCTAGGAAAGTTAAGTTGATTAGAAAATGAACTAGTTTCCAGTGTTGTAAGAAATACTTATAAAAATAAAATATTTAAAATACCACCCAAATTAATTCTAGGTATTAAGGTATATTAATTATAAATTTTATATTTTCGTTTAGCAAAGTTAGTAATCAGTAATCACACAGTATATTTTACAGCCAATAAAAATGTGAATAATGAGTATAGCTTTTGCTGAACGGCTATAATATATTTTAAATTGGTACCGTTTCATCGATGGTAAACTGTATTCTGGAGAAAAAAAATTTAATTAAGCTATAAATAGACAAAAAACAAGACCGATATTGAATTGTCCATAAATTAATAATGATTTATATAATATTATAATAAAATTAAAATTAAAGGAATAAAAAAAAAGTATTTAAAACACCATTTAAACACTTCAAAGTAAAAAGTATTTAAAAAAGTATAATACATTTTGAAGTTTAAATGAATAAACATACTTCTATTTCAATGTTTTTTCTGATACATATTAATTCAAATTCAAATTTTCAACATTTAAAGATATAAAAGACTTGTGAATTTAAATCATAAATTTAAGAATGTTGTTATCTTGCCCAAGTTTATTTGTATAATAAAAAAACACATTAAAATATCTCTCACATAGCCGTGTACATAATATGGACAATTACAGTAAAGATATCAATGATCTTTTAATCAAAATTTTATCTTATTAAATATTAAGGGGATTCCATACCGTGATTTTCTGTACTATGTCACGCGTGTGTTAGACAAAAATAGAAAATCACCGGGTGGAATCCCCTTAAAGCATGAGGTAATATGGCAAGAATACCCAATACAATTATATAATCTTTAACAGATATTAGGATCTACCTGAATATCCTATAAAATAGCTTTATAGATATTATACAATATATTACTTCTCAATGACCTTTACAATAAAGGGTATAAGCTTTAGTAAAATATTATCTATCTTATCTTTTTCTACATTTAATACATTAATAGACTACAAAATTGTACATCAATTGCATGTGCATATTATGGTCATTGCTCTGTCATTCCTTTTGAGCTTTGAGTGTTGTATTGTTGTATACTATTTCACTTCATATTGAGACTTATTGTGCAAGTATATAATTATCCAATATGAATAGAGAACATTTGGATGAGCATAATTACTTTTTGAATCTTCCTGAACAAAATATTGAGGATGTAGATGAAGAAGTCAACGGTAAGTACTTTCTTACACCAATTTGTATCATATTTTTTTAATATATAATTATTAATTAATATATATAAAAATAATAATATAAAAATAAAATAGAAATTATTACATTCAGTTCATTTGTATGGCGTATATAAGGTATTACATTGGAATTATCTATCAATTACATATTAATTTTCACTATATTTCTACAGTTCAAGAACAAGCAATGACATACAAAATAATTCCTGGTGTGAGACTTAAGTCTCAAATATTTGTGGACAATTTAAATCACCGATACTACAAAAGTAAAAGTCGAATTAATAAAATGTGAGTAAAAAAAAAATTATTTTGAGATTTGTTTTATAATTTATAACTATTTAGATATTTAGTATGCGAAAACCAAAAAAATCGCGGAGAATTTTGTTCTGCCACTGCCTATATAAGCACAAACATCAACGATAATGTTATAACGGTACTAGGACAACACAACCATGATCCTCGGTTAGTAGATGTTCCTATGGTTCATTTGAGAGAGCTATTGGTACAGCAGGTACAAAACCTGGAACTATGTCCAGCTCTGTTAGAGAAATTTATAACAGAGAAATAGTCGAGTATGTTAAAGAAGTTCAATAATACATAGTTTTAAGTTTAACTAATGGCCATGGCGTTGCTGCAGAGTATTGTCATAACTTATAAGAACAATAAAAAAAAAAGTAATTATAAAAATAATACAATTATTTACTGCCTTAGAAATCCAGAAGGTGCAGTAAATTATACATTTTTGCAATCCCAATTGTGTGTAAAAAAAATGCGTCGGCGCCGTCATCCAAAGAACCCTTCTACAATCGAAGAACTGATAGATATCTTGAGCCACCAGCAAAATTCAGCATATGGATCAACAATGCAGAATCCATCCTCAAAGTAACATTGTACAAGCATTATCTATAAAAATAAAATATTTTTATAAATTTTTATTTAGTTTTTTTCAACAACAATTACCATTAATGGCAGAAGGCGAAAGGGTTGGCATAGTTTTTGCAAATTTAGATGCTATTCAAAAGTATAGGGAAGAGCTCTTTACAGTAACCGTTGCAGGTATTGATGGGACTTTTAAAACGGTTCCCAGATGTCCACCTCAGTTCACCAAAGGTTGTCTTTTGACATTTCAAGTGGTTTTAAAAAATGTAGTAAGTACAATTAGTATAAATAATTTAATTTTTCTGAAGTACCTACATACCTATTAACTGTATTTTACATTTAAGTCTTTTCCAATGGTTTATGCGCTAACTTCAAAAATGACCCAGGCTGCATATGAATCGTTTTTGATAATTACTCGCCAGATTTTGCCATTAAACTATGCGGAGCTAGTAATTATTTCAGATTTTGAAAGGGGTTTAATAAATGCTGTAAAATCAGTCATTCCTGAAAGCAGATATCAGGGGTGTTGGTTTCATTATTGTCAAGTAATTAAGTATAGTTACCTAATATAATTCACATAATTTAATATATATTTTCTAGTCTATAGTAAGGTACTGCAGAAGGACTATGAATAGTATATTCAATCTCTTCCAATCCATTCCTGAGGCGGCTAAAATATTGCGCATGGTAATTTTTATCAATAACGGATTACTGAAATTAATAAGAATATTTGAAATAGTGTAGGTAATTATAAATTTAAATGTTTTACAAACATGTCTGTTATAGATCTTAGCCTTACCTCATTTGCCAGCAGAAGTAAATCCCAATTGTAGGTTCACAATTTTTGATGGATTCAGGGTAGTTGTTGAATTTGCCAACCAACATCCAAACATTTCTCAACGTTTGGAGATTTTTCTCTTTGGTTATGTTCAAGATTTTTGGCTAATACAAATTGGCGCTGCATCTATAAGTGTCTACGGGTATGAGAATTTTATATAAAACAAAAAAAAAAAAAAAATAGAAATAAACTACTAAAGAGTTTTTAAATACATACACTTTTTAGTTCTGATGTCCGCACCAACAATTATTTGGAGTCATTTCATGCAACACTGCTAAACCAAATGGGAAAACATCCAAATATTTGGGATTTTTTGCGTAAAATCAATTTTGTAAAATAATATTTGTTCGGAAATTGGAAGTCTAATCTAACTATCTACCTAACCTATGGATTTGTATTTATTTGTTTAGTGCTGTGAATTAAATGTTATGATTCAAGGTGGTTGGTTAAAATATGTTAAATAATAATAAGTAGGCAATCAAATATTTTATTTTTATTCTAGAAAAACTGTTGCTGATTGAAAATCAGTTTTATATTGAAATGGACCAAGTTCGAAGAAACCTTACAGTAAATGAATGATTTCATTTTATTTATTTATACCTACCTGTATATTTATGGTTTTTTTGTTATTTTTAAATGTTAAGGTTAGAAACCATAAGTCTAGAGTAGACAGAGCAGACGCAACGCGTAGAATAAGGGATTATATTAATATATTAAATGAGGATGGGAACCTCTTAATGTTCCTTCAAAGAGCAGGCCATATGATGGACGGTTATCTTCATGGGCAAGTTGGCCCACAGCCATAATTCACCTAATAAATTATTATAATTATTATTTTTAACATTAAGCATATTTACATTTTATGACAATTTTATTTTATTATTAATGCTTACATTTTTTAACAATTTAATCAACTATTTATAATATTTACATTTTTGGACAATTTAATTTTTTATTTTATATTATTACATTTTTCAATATTTATTGAATAACACGTTTTATAAGTTGTATTTTAGATTCATCGAGTAGCGATGAATTTATTGGTTTTACAATGATTATGTGTGTTTTATTGTCAATAAGCATAATTTAAAACATTTGTATTACCTATTATTATAATTATTATTATTAACATTAAGCATAATATTAACATTTTATGAAAATTTTATTTTATTATTAATGCTTTACACTTTTTAACAATTGAATCAACTATTTATAATATTTACATTTTTGGACAATTGAATTATTTATTTTATAATATTACATTTTTCAATATTTATTGAATAACACGTTTTATAAGTTGTGTTTTACGATGATTATGTGTTGTAAAACAATTTACAAACCGTAGAAAAAAACTTCAGAAGTTAACATTATAAATTATAATACCTTACCAGTTACCGTAGAAAAAAACTTCAGAAGTTAACACTAGTAACTTGTAACTTGTTAGTACTTTCAGCTTTGTTATTTGTACATATGGTTTTTTTAGAACACTATAAGCAGTTTTCCGGCCGTATTATACAATGTAGTATAAATTAAGGTTAAACCGCCGATTTAAAGTTTTACGAAAATGAGTTTTGATATTTTGTTTTTACAGTTGGTCACTCTGACTGTCGGAGTAAAAATTGGTTGTTATCATTTGTCGGAGAACGGCCCTCGTCCGGGGGTGTTATGTCAAATTTCCGACTTAAAAAAAATAAAATTAAAACTTGTTAAAATTATTAAAATTGTCATGCACTTGTGTATTTATTAAATTCAAAATATAAAATATGTTAAGTTACAATAAATAGATTAAAATACTTCTATTAGGTATTAATTTTTACATAATTATTCTTCTTTCTTTCAAAACTGACCATTTATCAACAAGCATTGTTATATTAACATTATCCAAAATATCTTTGTTCGAGTTCAGCAACATTAAATTTTGTAGGCGATCAGCAGATGTAGTAGATCTTAAATAGTTCTTCACCAGTTTTAATTTACTAAATGCCCGTTCATTAGATGCTGTACTAATGGGAGCTGTAAACACCAATCGTAGATCAATCAAATCATGATAGTAGCATCATGTTCACATTTGGTAAAAGGTGTTTAAAAGATTCTGAGGTTTTTAATATTTCTAATAAATTTAACATAACATTACAATGATGAACTAATATTAAAAACTCAGAAAGAATTCCATCATAGTCAGTTATTTGGATGCAGAACTTCCTGGAGGAAATAGTTCAATTAATTTTTTTAAATCGTCTGCAATATAATTGGGTTTTAAAGGTATCAAAAATACTTTGAAAAGAGGCTCTTGGTAGTCATACATTTTTTTAAATGCTCTGATGATTATGTTATTAATGTATATAGAACTTTTTTAAATTCTGATCTATAAAATGTTTTCATATCAAAGTTTGTTTGTGTATTTGAATTGGAATCCAATCTATTGGGTATCAAACGTCTTCTATGAACTCGATTAAAATCGTAATTGGGATCAATCCTTATTTACAAGCAAATTGTATTGAACTTTCTACAAGATTATTCATACCTGTATCATCGTTATTAATGTCTTTTAAAATTTCAATAGTATTATTTAATAACATTAATGCATCAATTACATTAGGTTCTATTACTTCAAGTTTTTCTGTTAAAATTTTCATTTTATACATAATTTTCTTCATAAAATACAAAGCAATAATAAAATCAAATGATAAAATTTTTTTGGGAAGTCCAAAAGCTTGTGTTCTTGTAATTTTATCCAGTTTCTGCGCAGAAGACATTACTTGAAGTGAGTCTAAAATGATCTCATACGATATCTATCCAGCTTTTATTGACTCACCTCTAACAGTCCACCTTGTTTTTGAAAGGTTCCGTAAATTTAAAGAATTTTCTATCTCGGTTATCTTGCAGTGTAAATGGGCGTATCTTTTTGTACTCGATGAAAAAAAAAACATACAATTGCTCAAGATTAGAAAATAAGTCCACAACCACGGCACTTGCATCACAACTGTGTTTCAAGAAAGTATTAATTCGATGTGTCTGACAAGGAATAAAATAAATTATATGACCAACAAGATCAGATAGTTTCTGTGTTGTTCTGTTGATCTTACCTGACATGCTACTGTCAAAGTCATAAGATTGAAAAGCAATATTTTCGCATGGTAGACCATTTTTTTGTATTATTTCCTTAATATTCTCAGCGATTCCTAGTCCAGCTTTTTCAACAGCTTCACACACTGCTACTAAACTTTCACAGACTTCTCCAAAAGGATCTATGTAACGTAAACAAATTGACAATTGATCTTGATGTAAAACATCTGGTGTTGTATCAGCCATCAAAGAAAAAAAGTCAGATTTTTTAACTTCTTCAATAATTGTGTTATTTGTTTCATCTGCTAGTAAGTCGATAAATTCATTTTGGGAATCGTGGCTAAGATAAGTCACTTTGTGTTTTCTACATTTTTTTATCATCAAGTCATCTTTTCATAGCTGGATTATGTCTAGACATTAACAATACTAATTGATTAAAATGTCCGTTTTCCTCATTCAAATCAACACGAAACGCAAGTCGTTGGTGTGCAAAGGTACGGGTTATATCTAACAATATAGTAATCACTTCTTTATGAAAATGTATTTTATATTCTACTTCAATTGCTTGTTGTCTATTTACCTTGTTAAGAATACAGTCAAGATGGTTTGAGGAAGTCAAAAAATTTCTGTGCTGAGTTGTGTGATTTTGAAGAAAAATGTAGAGCAAGTTTTCTTTGTTTATTTGTTCCCATCCCATTCATTTGATGCCAACTTTGAACACCACTTACAACCCATGCTGGATGGATCGGCACAAATTCTGTTAGGCCCATGAGGAAATAGAGAACAAATAAAACAAAATGCTGCATCTTTCTGTATACTATATTCTAAGTGAGGAAACTCATTGAACCATAGTGAGATAAATTGGCTTTGTTTTGCTGTAGGAATATTTAAGTTTTTTGGATATTTGGCCAATTTAGGTTGATAGGGCAGAAGAATCAAGAGATACTTTCTCTGAGCTGATGATTTTACTATATCTCTCTTTCCAGGGTCATGTTCTGGAAAACTATCCAAAATATTTCCATATTCAACAGTTTCATTAGCTATTAAAGAGCTTAAAACTTGTTCAGTTGTTAGTAAATATTGTTTAGATTCAATTTTAATAGAAGTTATGATATGCGAGGTTTCAACCAAAAATGATATTGGGTTTGGTGAAGATTCATTCTTAATTTTGGTTAAAAGTCTACTACATTCTTGAAAACGGTTAACTAGTGATTCATGTATACCAGCACATACCACCCAATCATCATGACTAGTTGTATTAATACATTCAATACCTGTTGAAATATAATACATAAATATAAATATCTAAAAATATAACAAAAACAAAAACATAACATAAACTAATCCATGAGTTAACAGGTTTTATACTAATTAAGGAATAGATTTTAGTTTAATATAATAGTACATTTTTCAAAATGTACTTATCTGTTTATAATGCTCTCATATTAATGAAAATATGTGTTTAAATAGAAATCCGTTACTTAACAGTTAATATAATAGTATTTAAAGCAGAAATATTATTATAATTATATGCAATACAAAAAAAAAAAATATTCTCCTATAATATATTAATTTGTGTAATATGTGTAATATATTTAAATCATGTTAACAATAACTTATCGATTGCAAATTTCTATTTACAGTGTTAAAAAATGTAATAAATATTTTCAGTAATACAAATAAAAATTATAAAACTCAATTTGTTGGCAGACTTTAGGTTCAGATTCAATTATTTTACCATTTTCTTTATCATTTTTAAAATGTTCTGGGTCATCCATAACATTCCCTGGAATAAAATAATAAGTATAATATGTGTAATATATTTATATCATGTTAACAATAACTTATTGTGTGTGTATGCTCGTATACACGCTCGTCGCTCTGTGCAAGTTTTTATGTTTCTTTCAAAACTAATTACCTGTTTTTTGCGTTTTTTAGTTCACTATATCTATAAAAAGTGCGTGCGTAGATTGGTGTCGGTTTTGATTCAGTCTGCTCAATATTTTTTCTTTATTTTTCACTTGCAGTGAATTGTTAATTAATTTGTATACGTCGCTGGCAGGTAAAATTTAATATAAGTTTATGCTATCAGCTATTACGGCTGAATCTTATCGACTTTCAACCCATGGCTGCTGCTTCTTAATTAGAATCCGGTACGTGTCAAGGCCACCGCCTATCGTTGTTAGCAACAGGTGCTAATTATTTGGCCTATCTACTTTTGTTAAGGCACCTTACTTGTTCTTTTGCTTATTCGCATATTTTCTCATCACTTAGTCGAAAACGCGTAATGACGCAAAACAATGATCTTCTTTCTGCCGAGTTAAATAAGTGGACTAAAGTCATGCTCGTTGACTATATTGTGACGCAATCTCTGCCTGCTGGTATGAAATTGAGTGAAGACATGTCAGAGTTTTTAAAAGTTTCTACTTCTAACCCTGCAAAGCTTTCGCCTGGAAACTTAGTAAATGTTGCCAATATTCTCCAATCCGTGGTCGAGGAGCTCAAATCCGTGGCACTTATTAACTCTAAGTTACATAATAAGCTCAACCGTCTCAATGCGACAACTAGTGTCTCATTTCCTAAATCAAATGCTCAACCCATTAATTTGCCATTTGTTGTGCACCCTAAATCGGATGCGGATACTCGTTCTACTCAGCCCGCAAACCAATTGATTGCCGGTCTATCTTCGTCCGTAAAGTTAAAATTCATTGTTGGTTCTCTAAAAACTCATCTTCTAAGCTGTCATCAGTGCCGGTGCGCAAGCATGTTGATATTTTTGTCTCGAGGCTTGATCCATGTGTTACAACTGCCCTACTAGAATCTGCGTTGTTCAATGGTTACCCAGACGTGACCATCAGCAAAATGGTTACAAGGCACCCATCTTACTCTTCATTTCATGTGCGCCTGCCTGAGGAGAAGCTTGATATTGTCCTCGATCCTGTATTCTGGCCCAATGGAGTAATGGTCAAACTTTTTTGGAGTCGTCTTGCTCCCGAGATGATTCAAGACACAACTCCAAAAAACTGATATCTTCGTGTTCATCTACCAGTCCTCCTCTTGTTGGTGTACACGTTCCATCCACTTTCAGATATGGTGTTGCAAAAAAACCCCAAAAAAAAAACTTATTAGCCTAGGAGCGAAGTTACCCATGGGTTTCTATCAAAACTGTAAAGGTCTAAGAACCAAACTTTGTCTTTTTAAATGTAATGTTGCTGTGTTTAATTATGTTTTTTACATTTGCTTAACTGAAACCTGGCTAACTAATAGTTTCCATGACACCGAATTAGGTTTACTCAACTATGTTGTATTTAGATGTGATAGTATTAGTCAAACCAGTAATTTCAGTAGAGGAGGTGGAGTTCTCGTTGCCATTCGTAACAAACTTACTTACTCGTATTAGTGCTGTGTTATAAGTTTTGTACCTATAGTTGTTTTCAAACCTTCTAAATTTCCATCCTGGTTCTCTAAAGATCTTAAGGATATTGTTTTTGCCAAGAAGAAAATTCATGCGAAATACAAATTATCACGCAACCCTGTTAACTATAACAAGTTATCTTACCTGCGTGCTCAGTATAAATATTATTATAAAAAATGCTATAAAACGTTTCTGGATAGCACTGAAAACATGCTTAAACTTAATCCTCGTTTATTTTGGAACTTTGTGCGTAAGCAAAGGTCTACCAATAGTATTCCCAATGCTGTTCACTTCAATGATCAAAGTTCAGCAGATCCTGAATCCATCTCCAGTCTTTTCTCGTCTTACTTTAACTCAGTCTATGTGCCTTCCTCAATAAGTAGCCTCCCTGTAATTCCATTTGCGCAGCATATTTTGCCTTCTGACTGCTGCTTTAGTGCCGATGATGTCGAGAATGGGTTAGCTGCACTAAAAAATGTAAACTCTGTTGGCCCTGATGGTTTATCTGGGACTTTTTTTGTATAACATCAGGTCTGTTCCTTTGCTTTCCTCTATGGTTACTTTTTAGGCGCTCAATGGACGATGGAATTTTCCCATCTATGCTAAAGATCAGTTCAGTCACCCCTGTGTTCAAATCTGGGGACAAATCTGACGCCGTGAATTATCGGCCAATATCGATTCTTAGCCATATTGTCAAGCTCTTTGAACACTTAGTGCTGAAATCCATTCGGCCTTCAGTTGACTCTATACTAGTCGATGAACAATATGGCTTCCGACCTGGACGTTCCGCCGTTTCGAACCTTATTGTATTTAATTATTTTGTCCTCGAGGCATTTGAAAATCGCTCCCAGGTGGACGTGGTTTTCACTGATTTTACGAAAGCATTCGACCGTGTCGACCACGCCATTCTGATCGACGTGCTCTATAAGTCCGGATTTGGTGAACCTATTTTATCCTGGTATAAATCATACCTGTCCGGTCATGCGCAGTGGGTTAAAGTGCTTGGGTTCAAATCTGCTGCTGTCTCTGTTCCATCAGGTGTTCCCCAAGGTGACCACTTATCTCCTCTGCTTTTTTCGGTATTTGTAAATGGAATTGCGAAGGCTGCTCCTAAATGTAAATTCCTAATGTTCGCAGACGACCTTAAACTTTTCTGTAAAATCGAATCTGAAGCTGATTGTGTCGCCCTTCAGAATGAGTTAGATTCCATTTGCTTATGGTTTAGCACTCTTGGCCTCCAATTTAATATTAATAAATGCAAATCAATGTCCTTCACCAGGTGCCAGGTGGCAGTCGATTATTTATACACTATCAATGGTTCAGTGATTGATAGAGTTACAAGCAATAACGATTTGGGTGTTCTTTTCACTGCTGATCTTAACTTCCACCCTCACATTGACTCCATCTGCTGCAGAGCTCTCAAGTCACTTGGCTTCATAATGCGCACCATGAAAGAGTTCAAACTGTCTAGATCTCTTAAGACTGTCTATTGCTTTTTAGTCCGAAGCTTACTAGAGTATGCGTCTGTGCTCTGGGACCCATTTGTGGTCATTGATTCTTGCCATTTAGAGCGAGTTCAAAGGCGCTTTTTGTCGTCCGCAGCTTCATGCTAAAAATTGTCCATCCTCCTCATGTCTATACTCCAGTATTGCACGCACTTAACCTTACATCCCTAGCAGACAGGCGCGTTAAAGCTAACCTAGGCTTTTTGGGAAAGTTAATCGATGGTTCTATAAATGCCCCTTTACTGCTCGCGAAAGTAATCTTCAAAGTTCCGCATCGTGCCACAAGGTCTCGAGTTCCGTTTACTGTACCTTTCCATTGTACCAATTACGGTAGAAACAAACCTATCGACCGCATGATGCGTTTGGGTAACGAGGACCCCACCTTTCTTAGTTCACCTTAATATTGTGTTATTGATCTTGTAGTATCTCTCTTTTTTTTTTTTATTATTATTTTGTTATATCATGTAGGTATGTAGTTTTAGTTGTGTCCTAATTATTATAATTTGTATTTATTGTACCTGTAATTTTGCTCTATTTTTGGGCCATCGCTAATTGTAAATGTTAATTATGTTAAGTTTCTGTATTATTGTTGTGTACTGTACTAAATAAGGAATCTTATTCCGTAAATTAATTAATAAACAAATAAACTTATCAATTGCAAATGTTCTAGTTCATCTATAACATTCCCCGGTATAAAATACATAAGTATAATATTTACAGTTATGTCATAATAAATAATTAATAGGTAAATAAAATATGTTTCAACATGACAACATACCTTTTTCTGGCTGTTCAACACTAGATTCAGTGCATTTTCATAGTTCAACTTGTTCAATGTCTTGATTATCTACCAACTTGTATCTGTCCTACACATTAAAAACAAGAAGTTTAAAAATCAGCAAAAAACTTAATTTATTATACACAAAGTTTAAATAATGTAATAATAAATAAATAGATTTAAATATCTGAGGTTTTAAATTCTATAGTAAAGAAAATCGTACCTATCGTATTATTATAAATAATAGGTAATTAAATAATCATGGTTATGACGTGCGCTGCATCGTTTTGTTACAACAAGAGTGGACAGAAACAATCCAAGGTTTCGTTTTTCAGGTTTCCGAAGAACGTTGATGAGTAAGTACAAATAGTATTATTAATTTATATTATTCTTTATGTAGGTACCTAATATTATAGAATTTATGACTTTTGAAGAAAAGTTTGTTGTTATGGTACTTGTTCGTGTGTGGAAGTCGATAACGCACACGTACCATCGTTATTACTGGGTTATATATTTTATTATTAGTGTATTCAGTATTTCCATATTACAGTATTTTGTATAAACATTTAAGTGAATTTAAATTATACAAGCTATATGGTATTATGTGATGTTTTAGGTGTAATTAATGGACATCCTTAATTGGTCAGAATATCCTGGTAAATTGTAATGTTCAGTTTTAGAGAGTCTGTTCCGAACATTTTGAAGCTACATGCTTTACATCTTCATCAGTGGGACGACAATAAGTGCGTCTTATCAGTGGTGCTATGCCCTTAAAGAAGAAACAAAACAATGCAGAACTTGATACTGGCACTTTCAACGATGAAACAGTAACTTCTGAGGGACAAGTATCTATGATGACTGTTACAGATGTTTGTGACGAAGAATGTTTTAATAATACTGAAATTCCAACTGATGTATCACAAATGGTTATTGAAAGTTGTTCAACTCCATTATCACTTAAATACCAAAGCAACTTAAGTAGTTCAAAATTGTCTTTAGCATCAACAAGTAGCTCTTATTCAATGACTTCAACACAAACATCGTTACAATTATCATCAGATACCCCACAAAAACGTAAACTTAGGAAAAGTATGAAATATAAAGAGGACCAGTATAAGGACTTACCTAAGCAATTCACTGAATTACAAAAATCTGTAGATAGAACAAAACATCCCACAATTTAAGATTTCCATGAGTTATGTGATACATTTTTAAGGCCTGACATCGCTAAATTGGTTAAATCACAACCTTCCTTAAATATAAAATCATCTAAAGGTTTCCGGTATTCTAATTCAGTGAAACAATTTGCACTTAAAATACATTTTCTTTGGCCTAAAGTATATCGTTTGATTAAAATAACTTTTAATTTGCCAAGTATAAGAACTTTACAAAGAACCACTGAACGTTGGGAAATAAATCCTGGTTTCAATGACTTGGTGTTCAAAGTGTTAACTTTAAAAGGTAGTACCATGTCTGCAAAGAGTAAAGAATGTGTTTTATGTAGGTATATTAAAGCTTTTCTTTATTATAGCACTGTTAAAGATACAATTATTGGATTCCATAACACCGGCTCCATCAAAACACATGAGCTAGCTAGGTCAGTAATGGTAATTATGATTCGTGGCTTGCATGATACTTGGAAGCTGCCTCTATGTTACTTTTTTGTTGCGTCTAATTGTTCTGGTTATGATTTGCAAAGTATAATTTTTAACTGTATTGAAAAATTATCCAGTATTTCTTTTAATGTTAAAGTAATGATTTCTGATTTAGGGTCCAATTTTAAAAAAAATTGCTGATCAACAAGGTATTACACCAGAAAAACCTTATTTTAATGTATCAGGAAAAGAGATTGTTTTTATGTTCGATCCTTCTCATTTACTCAAAGCAACTAGAAAAAACTTTTTCAACTATAAATTTGCATGTAATAATAAAATTGCAGAAAAAGTTAATTTAGAAAAGTTCTATTCATTAGATAAGACCCGAAATATTCGTTTAGCACCTAAATTAACTGACATTCATCTTAATCCAAATTCATTTCAGAAAATGAAAGTTAAATTTGCTTTCCAAGTATTTAGCAAAACTGTAGCTGCTGGAATGGAAACTTGTATGTTGACTGGTGA